CAACTGTATATATATGTGTATATATATACACACACACACACACACACACACACACACACACACACACACACACACACACACACACACACACCAACATTGTAAATACACATTTCAATTCACTGCTGTGCAATCCACCACATTGGTGTGTAACATATTGCATATGCAACATTATAGATCTACTGTAAAGCACTCTAAATAGTACAGTGATTGCTTTCAATTTTTGAAAGTAAGACCTTTTAAAAATGAGTAGGGATTTAACTTTAACTGTAATTGTTTATTTTCAGCATGTGGGTTGTTATCCTGTGGAGCTGGAGCGAGGACCTAGGGGCTTTGGGTTTAGCCTTCGTGGCGGAAAAGAGTACAACATGGGACTATTTATTCTCCGGCTCGCAGAAGATGGGCCAGCCATCAAGGACGGGCGTATTCACGTATGTATTCGGCATTAATCAAGAAGATCCTGTTCTCTGCCACTGAAGTAAAGAAACATTAAGTAGCTTAGAGGGGGAATAGCTTACAAATGATGTCCCCTCCATGTGTTCCAAGTCCTGAGGACATCTCTCTGCAGCACCTGGCAGTGTTCATGTACTGACTGCCCTGGCAGCTCTGTCAATACGTGTCATTTATCGGGGGATAAAGTGTGCTCAGATCAGTGACGGGTAGCTGCAGAACTATCAGCAGTATATCTACACCAGCAAAATATCCCTCACAAGGGTATTTCTTTCTGTAGTGCTTGGTGATCTTTATCTTAAAGTTCCCCAACTTAATTTTAAAGAACAAGGATAACACAGATAAGAGATGTAAAAAAAAAAAGGCAGATACCTTTTCAGATTTCAAATATGCTGCTTATGGATGTTAGCTGTAATTACCCATACACACATAAATGGTAAATACGAGTTAACTTGAGCAAGACCCGAAGCAAAGCTGTACAATCCATGTATCCACTTCAAAGAAGATTGTTTAACTCAGACATAGGGACTGATATTTTCATATTTTGTTAGACAATAACTAAATCTTTGTCCGCAGCCCCACACTTCCCTCAGCCTTCCATCCATAGATACATAGATATCCCAGCAGTATACTTACAGCAGGTACCAGTTAATTCTGAGTTTAGAGGAGTATTGACCGTGGCAGACAAAGTCTTTAGTTGAGCTTTAAAATACAGAAAATACTACATCCTTCTGAAGTAGGCTCTAAAACAAACCTTCCATATTACAATCTGTACACTATCTGGGTAATTTTAAATAAAATGTACGAAAAAAGATGTAGCACCATGGCTTGCCTAAACTATTTATTCATGTTATATCCAGTTAGGTTGGTGATCATGCTACACAGTAAACATAAAGGAGATTGTACAATCAGACTAATATGTGTGGGCAGCCTAAAGGTGCCCATACACCTTACGATTATCGGACGAAACTTTTCGTCCAATGATCGAACCGTCGTACGATTTTCGTACGACGGCCCCATCTTGCCCCGATTATCGCAAGGTCCAATTAGCGGTAGTTTAAAAAAAACACCTGGACGACTTGCGGTAATTGACCGCAATTGTTTTCGTTTGCACATGCGCAGTGTTAATCGTACGACTTTTGACGGACGGAAACGCCACCAACCATGCGAACATCGTACGATCTAGCAAAGTTTTCAAACATGCTTGACCGTCAAAAGTCTTACGATTGTACAGTACTATCGGTCGGGCACTCTATTCACACATTATGATTGTCGTACGAAAAGTCGATCGCATACGATTGTCGTACGATAATCGTAAGGTGTATGGGCACCTTTACAATTATCTGCAGATTTTCTGTTGGTCAGATGGAAAAAGTGCAACAGATTGGCCCAGGTGGAGATTACTCCATCCACACAGTTTAGCGTAGATGGAGGAATCTGTTGGACCTTTCCATCTGACCACAGAAAATCTGCAGATAATTGTAAGGTGTATGGCCAGCTTTAGAGAAACAGGCACAGGTGTAAGTACCTGTGACAAATTCATGCACCTGTTTCCAAAAGGTACATAAATGTGTCCCATGGAGGTATGATGGGGAGGCAGTTGTACAGGATCCTCTGCTGTACTGAAATCACTTTCTCTGATGCAAGCTTCTCACAGTTTGCATTAAAAATTGCATCAAGTCAGATAGAGCCTGCCTTATCTCCTGGGTGAAGGGCGTCCAATATCATCTAGCGCTTTTTTTCCCTAGCCTGCCCTGTTCATTAATTGGTTTTGCACTCACGGATGTACATCATGATATGTGGGCATTACCTAGGGCGGTCTGCATGCAAATGCAGTTTGTCTAGGAATATCCATTCTTCCAGTCTTAACTGCAATAAGGTTCATCAGCACTTGCAGGATGAGGATAAATCCAGAAGTTCATTTTATTGTAGAACATGCCACATGTGTAATATAGCCATCTGCACATGCTCCCTTTATCAGGGCAAACATAGTGACAACCAACTGACACCCACCAATCAAAGCATTTTGAAATTTGCATAACCCCAACAGCAAACCCACTACTTGCATTTGGGCCGAGGGCTCTTGGGAGAAGTACTAAACAGGGGTGTGGAAATTTTCAATCAGGAAGCTGGGCAGCGGGTAATGTCATGCTACCCGGCTTCCTGAATTCGCCAGGGAAGCCAACTCCATGTTGTTTGGCCGGCTTGATTGTGATAGGCTGGAAAACTGGCTTCACAGCCAATCAGCATCGAGCCATCTTCCCGGCCAATCAGGAAACCGGGCAGCGAGTAATGACCTGATTGGCCAGGAAGCCGGCTTGATGCTGATTGGCCAGGAAGCCGGCTTCCCAGCCAATCGGCAAGGAGCTGGCTTCCCGCCCAATCAGGAAACCGGGAGGCGGGTGATTAGTCGCTGCCCCGCTTTCTGATTGCATGGGAAGCTGGCTCCATGTTCCCCTACGGCACTGCCGTTCAGAGGAAATCTTCAGCTGACCGGAAGTTCCGGTATTGAGGAAGGTTTCGGAGCATTTGGGTGAGTACAAGTACTCGCCCAAGTACTATTTATCGGTGCATTAGTAATCAAAACTGTATTTGACTGTGCTAAATCGCGCTTCTCATTGGTCAGTGTGGTCACCTGACCACGCTGACCAAAGAGTGCTTGCAATTTGCGAGCGAAATTCAAAATGCATAGGGCAGGAGTGCGCTGGACAGCAGTACGGGGTACAGATAGTACACCCGTACTGGCAGAGGGTAAAGACTGTATGCCGAAAGGTAAGTATAGCCGGGGGGTTTGGGAGAGACCGGGCCAGATTTGATCAGGTAATTCCATTTTCCCATATTACTTGGGAAAGTGAACTTACCCTTTAATGCACATTGTGTGTGCGTTGAGTGCTGCCGCCATTCCACTGTGTGCCATATTGTGGTAGCCAGGCAGCAGAACTCTCCTACACGCACAATGTCCTACGCATGCGTTTATTTACATGCAGATGTTGGGGGCAGCAGGGTTGGTTTTCATTTTTTTTCTACTTTATCACATTTATCTTTTGGAATTTTTATATATTTTATTATTTTTTACTTATAACTTTTTTTCATTTTTATTGTTTACTTTTTTTTCCAACTTAATTTTATTCTTATCACATAGGGGCTTGCAAGCCCCTATGTTATAGTTTGGAGGTGACAGGTTCTCTTTATGGAACCTGCCCTCCAACACAGAACAGATGTTGTGTGCAGTTCCTTACAGCTGTGACAGGTGGCGCTGTGATTACAGTGCTCCAGTCTCAGTGATCACACAGAGCAGACGAAGAACAGACATTCTTCGCCTGCTCTACGGGTTCTCTGGTGAGCTCATGTGCCGTAGTCACGGGTTCCCCAGAGGAGCCCCTCATGTACTTGCCGATACCAATTACTGATACTTTTTCTTAAAGGGACAGGTGACTTTTTTTTAAAAACAATACAGACTAATGATTTTAACCCAAATTTTTTACGATTAAGAAGAACTTTAATTTAAAAGACTGTTTTAGAACAATAAAACCTTTTTTATTTGCTTTCACAAAGTTGTAAAACCAGAACAAATGTAAAAGAACATGTTTTTAAATAAAAAAACTAAGGATATTAACATCAACAGTTTTACATTAGCAGGCTTTCAATCAATTATGCTTATTTATCAAATGTAAGTGGCAGGTTTTTTTTTAAGAAACAGGAGAATCTCTGCATGTTCACATAGCAGGCTGTTTCTGCTATCAGTTAAAATGTGTGATGCTGCGCTGAACAATCTTTCACTCTCCACACTACTGCATGGAGCAGAAAGATATTTTTTTGCCATTTGGGCCAGAGACGGAAATCGCGGTTTATTTACTGCCCAGTACATGAGGGGTTTGTCCGAACGAGGCACAGTGGCCTCTCCAAAAAATGTTTCTAGCTGTATGGTAACAGCTATGGGAGTGCTGCTCTTAGAGGTGGATTCCAAAGCTATTTCCTGTGAGGCCTTTTGACAGGTGGTTCCTCAAGCACCTCGGCTATAGGTTCCTCAAGCACCTCGGCTATAGCTTCCTCTTCTGAAATTTTCTGCAGCTCTAGTAGGACAATTTATTTGCTTTCACTGGAAGTGTCATCATGTGTGAAGAATCGATCTTTATACCTAGAAGAATATAAAAAACAATGATGAATAAGCAAGTAGTGTACTGTACTACCCTGTATGTGCATTAAGAAATAAAAAATATGAGGTGAGCACTTTGCAATTAAAAGCAATGACAACAAAAGGGAAATAAGGAGAACCGGAAAACTAAAAATCATATACTAAAAGAAATGATTAATGACTGTAGTCTCTTCATTTAAAAAATGTAACTTAAATTATTAAAGTTACATTTTTTAACTCGAGACTACAGTCATGAATCATTTATTTAAGTTAAATAGATCACCTCTCTCTAAACTTTCTGCTTTTATCTTAAGAGCAAAATTAAGCTTATTTTAGACCTTTAACAGCAGAAAAGAATAATAACCTTGGATCTAAGAGAGTAGTATAGTGGGTTTCACTCTGTGTCAGACAATCGCTTCTGGAAAGCAGCAAGCAACGCACTCTTCATAGTTTTAATACCGTGGTCCTCATCCACTTCTTTTGTTAACATTCGCTGTAGCACGGTGACTACAGGTATTACATCTGAGGCCAAAGCATCTGAAGAACTCACTTGGTGAGTCAATTCTTCAAAGGGATCTAAGATGTTCAGTATTTTATGCCAGGTGTGAATGTTTAAAGTGGCCAACTAGTCTGCGACCGACCCCCACAGTATCCGCAACGTTGTGTTGTGATAATAGACCCTCTGGGAAAGCCAGCTGCAGCATATGGGCCACACAGGAAATACTTGTAAGTCCAGCATCATCCATGCCTTTGATCATATTTCTGGCATTGTCACGGACCACAACATGGACAAAACGTTTTGGAATTGCCCAAGTCTGAAGCATTTCCTCAAGTTTACTAGCTATA